CATCTTGGACCGCGACAGCTCTCATTCAACATGTGGAACATCTACGAAGTGAGCGACCGGGTGCCGCACCAGGGGGGGACACCGTAGTAGTAGTAGTAGTAGTAGTAGTAGTAGTAGTAGTAGTAGTAAATAGTAGAAGAAGAGGAAGAAGCGTGTAACAATTTGTACTAGTCGTGTTAAGTCTTCACCGAAGGGCCGGCGCTCCCACCCAAGTGGCAGCGCGACAGGTCCAGGTCCTGGAGCTGGGCCTCAGCTTTCGTTGGGTTTAGGGCTTAGGGTTTGGGGTTTCGGGTTTAGGGTTCTAGGTTTAGGGCTTATGGCCTCGGATTTAGGCTTCGGGGTTTAGGTTTAAAGTTTGGCTTACGGCTTAGCTTTATAAGGTTTAGGGTTTAAGCTTTTCTGAACCCTAAACCCTCAAGCCGAACCCGAAGCCCGAAACCCAAAAACTAAGCCCTAGCCCGCGTCTTCGGCATAGACCCATCTGATAAATTCAGGTCACGCCAGCCCCCGCTGCCAAGCCAAATGCCTGCAGCTGGAAAGTCTGAACCTAGACGATATTGCAAGTATAGTACGTTACAGTCCATCTCAATCCGTAAACCCTAAATCCTGAACCCTTGACCCTAACCCCTAAATCTTAAACCCTAAACCCTGAAACCCTAAAACCTAAATCCTATAACCTAGAACCCCTAAGTCCTAAACCCTAAACCCTAAAACCCTAAATCCTAAACCCCTATATAAATCCTAAACCCTAACCCCAAAGTCGTCCGGGCTGCCTCTGCGGCTTCCGGCCCGGCCACGTTACCGAAGAGCCGTAGCTGCTGCAGGGAGTGGCCGGCACCAATGAGCCTTCTCCGAAGGCCCCGTCTTAGGGCTTTTTGGGGTTTAGGGTTTCAGGTTTAGGATTTAGGGTTTAGGGTTTTAGGGTTTAGGGTTTTAGGGTTTAGGGCTTAGGATTTAGGGTTTCGGGTTTAGGGCTTAAGGGGTGGATTTTTGGGGTGGATTCTTGAGGGGTTCACTTCGGCAAGTTGTGGGCAGAGAAGGCTTCCGGGTCTAAAGGGGTCTTCGGGCTTTACCTATGGTCTCCATGGTAGTTCCTTTTTTGGTTTAACCAATTATGATATATTAAGGATTCTATAAGGTATCCCCAAAAAGCAACTACAATGGAGACTATAGGTAGGGCTCGGGAAGTTCGGGATCGATGTAGGGGTCAGGGCTCGGAAGTTGAGAAAGTTACCCTAAACCCTAAACCCTAAACCCCAAACCCTAAATCCCTAAACCCTAAACCCTAAACCCTGAACCCTAAACCCTAAACCCTAAACCCTAAACCCAGCCTGCAGGATTCGAGAGTTTAGGGTTCCAGGGCTCCGGGGATTCGAAGAGTGAGCTGAGGATTTGGGCTTTGGGCACTCAAGGGGTTCAGGGTTTAGGGTTTGTGCTTTGGGCACTCAAGGGGTTTGGGGTTCAGGGTTTCGGGTTCTGGTTTATGGGCTTGGGGTTTAGAGTTTCGGGTTCTTTTTGTTTGAGAGCTCTTGGGTTTGGGCTTTAGAGAGTTCGTCAACCCAGTGCTCGTCGGACCCCTGCTGCTCTTCATGAGGCCTGGAAGTCTATACGCTCCTTCCTCCAAAGGGTCCAAGTACTAGTATAGTATATACTTTGGGGGCCCAAATACCTACTAAGTACCCACTATAATGGTACTTGGACCCTTTGGGATAATGCCCCAGCCGCAGGGCGGCAACGAAGATAAAGGTACATTGCTTCAGTCCGCATCAATCACCCCTCGCACACAGAGACTCAACACACCGCTTCGGCCATAACAGAAGCATCAACGCAACAATGCGCCCGAATGACTTCCGTGCGCAATGCGCGGCGCAGCAAAAAATGCTCCTACGGCTTCTTATTGCGGCTTTGCAAACACAATGCATCGTATAGTCTTGCCCTAAACCCTAAACCCTAAACCCTAAACCCTAAACCCTAAACTTGCCACTGTCAAAACCCTAAAACCGAGAACCCCAAAACCCTGCACACCCTGAATCCCAAGCCCTGAGCGAGACCCCCTCCAACGACTCTCTCTATGGGGCCCTAATTTTGCAATCCTTAGCTGGAACCTTACTCTAACTACTAAGGCCCTCACCCTCTACCCTTCTAGTAACCCTTATAGGACCCTCAAGGGCCAAAGAGGGGCCGTGCACAGCCGGATCTTAGGCCGCAGAAGGAGAGGTCGATCTCTGAAAGCGAACCTGACACCAGGTTTTGAGGGATCGATACTGGGGTGTCTGGTTTAAGATTTAGGTTTAGGGCTCAGGGCCCAAGATTTCAGATCCAGGGTTGAAGTGCAGGATTCTTGTTTTTTGAAGGTTTAGGGTTCAAGATTTAAGATCCAGGGTTGAAGTTGAAGTTTAGGATTCCTGCTTTTTGAAGGTTTAAGGCTTGGGGTTCAAGGTTTCGGGCCGCGAGGCTTTCGGTTGAAGGTTGTTGATGCTTCCCTTCAGGGTTTGCGCCGCTGAACGAGACTATGCAAGGTTGTCTTGTTGGAGGTAACTACTGGCTCCATAGCAAGACTGTACACCCAGCGATAACTCTCTCTCTCTCTATATATATATATATTTACCCTATTATATAACATTATAATATAGTAGACTGTACTGTATTAGGTTATCTCATATTATACTATACTAAATCCTATCACATCATAATATATGATGTTACATTATGTTATGTTGTATTATCTGAGATTAGATTAGATTAGATTAGAT